ACAAAGATGTTTTAAATTACACTTTTGAAAAAAATATGAAAAATGTTTTAAGTGTTATTTACATGAATTGAATTTTAGAGGTCAGGGTTGGGGACAGCTACTTCCCAATAGAAAGTACCCTATAAATGGTGATTTTGTATATATTTAGCGTATCACTTTCTCATTTAATGTCCTGGGTTTAAATAGGTCATAACATAATCTTTGTAAATATCTATGTCTGAATACTCAATTTTATTATTTTTGTTGTTTTTTTGTTAAGGGACAGCACTTTGCACAAAATCAGTAAAATGCCCCATATATACACACATATATATACACATATATGTATATATATATATATATATGTATATAGCTGTTAGTTCAGGAGCTGTGTAGCTGCAGACACATTCCGTTTGTAGCATACAGGACAGGCCCCAACAAACCATGTCCACCACTAGTAGAAAACAAACCCATTATTGTGACAGTTATCTGAACCCTTCTACAATGCTACACTGTAGTGAATAAACGAAGGGCATATGTAGCAATAATTCACTTTATAATCCATTACACATGAAGATGTGATTTACTTTAAAAGTGACAAGATATAACCCATCCTATTACCCTAACTCTAACCTTAACCACCTCTCTCTTTACCAAATACTACATACCTAGCTAATCGCTGACTTAGAATTTTTGTTGGGGCTTCTACTTCCAGGCCAAGGAGCGAAGGGGGCTGATTGTGGACTGATGTGTAGATGTGGTGGGCGAGTCAGGTAGCTGCAACAGCTGCAGCTGTACCTGCTTCGTTAGTTGTGGCCACTGGCTGCTTAGAGCTAACGTTAACTAGCTTTCCTCCCGCTGATTTTAACACATTATCAGGGAAACAGTAGGGTGCGTCCTCTGAAGAAACAATAGTTACTTTAATGTATCCTCTCATCACAAAGGGGAAGATCTCTGTTTGTCACAAAATTATTTTATATTGTCCTGGGGACAAGGGTACACTGGCTGCTACTAGCTATCTCTTCACACAACAGTGAGATCACAGAGCCCATTTTCACCGCAGTCATTCTATTCTTCTTGTACCTGCTCATTACTTTAATTTTGTGGCGATCAGTTTTGAGCCTGCTTTGTAGCCTGTGCAAAATTGATGTGACACAACAGAAAAACACTAGCCACTGCCATCTGTGAAAGTCATCTTATTTTCCAATAGGCTGATGTCAGTCAACAAGGCAGATATCGGCTGATCCCGATGTTCAGCCAATAAATTGGTGCATCCCTTTATTACACTCTTTGTCCTGCAACTGCTGCACAGCAATTTCCCACAGGATTAAAAAAGTTATAGTTTAGTGGCATCTGTTGGCAGAAATTATATTTACCATTCATAACTATGTTTTTATTACTTTATAATCACCTAAAAATAAGAAATGGTTGTGTTTTTGTTACCTTAGAATGAGCAGTTTATATCTACGCACAGAGGGGGATGATAGGATAGGGTCATCCTGCACACTAGACCTTTAGTTTGCTTAAAAGGCACAACTTCCTCTAACTATTTAAACCTAGCAGTCAGCCCTCTGGACGTGTGTCCACATAGTGTTTGTCTTCAGCGGAAACAAGGAGGCAGGGAGCTGGGGAGCTACACATGGATACTGTTTTCACAACAACAATATCTTGACATTAATGTTAGCTAGGTAGCTAAAGTTTGTGCATTAACGCTGAGGAAAGCCAAGTGCTGAAACGCGTCCGTTTGTGATACTGCTGTGCGTTATTAAAAGACTGATATATATGATATTTGTGAGTGCTGACATTTGGATTTATTTAGTTTGTGAGTTTTGGGTCGGCACCCTGTGATTTTTCAAACGGTGAGTCAAGCACATCAATTCTTTTGTTTTTGTGAGGTAGCTAAAGTTACTCTCTGTTAATGGGGTTGACTTACAGCAGTATGGTGATAACTGCATAACATTCACCATCAGCATTCAGTGTATGGCTGATCTGCTCCCTCAAATGTGCTTTTCCAACTTGTTTGCAACCTGTTCTCATCTCAACCCACCCTTTATTGTTGATGAACTGGGATGGTGTATCAATGTATACCTGTTACATGCATTGTGTCTTTTCAAAATACACATTTATTTTCACAGGAATTGTACAGTTTCTGCTCATTAGATGCACACAGTCTTTTTCAAAATAAATTTACATCGGTAAAGCACCTCGTATTTAGGTTTATTTTCTTGTGCAACAAAAGCATGTGGTTAGGTTGAGAAAAAACATGATTTGGCTCTCATTCATACGGGAAGCAAACACAAGGCTCTTGGGTGAAAGTCTGGGGTTTGTTGGCCGCCCTACAGGGACTTTCCAGCTCCTTATATTACATCATTACCGGCAGCTTTTCAAACTGATGCTGTCTAGCAGCATATTATATCATTGTATGGAAAGCCAAAGGGGCCACAAGTCACCTCATTTTCATTTGAAGCATTGAAGATGCCACTCTAAGTACCACCAGACATTTATAAATACTGTCCTAATCGCCACCAGATGTTTTTAGGTAACATGTAAATGAATAAAATGCTGTTATCGAGACAGAAGGATTGAGTAGGAGTAAAGCATCAGTGGGACTGGGGGCTTGCACCACTTAGTCCTGAGTTAGTTAGTTAATGTACCTAACCCTTCAGTTACAGTTACAGCAGGTAAGCTGGTTTATCCCAGTCAACAAGCACAAATGAACAGCTTTGACCTGTGGATTTAAGTAATAAAAATGAAAATAATAAAGATGGATAATTGAACAATAGAATGAAACCAGAATGCATGCAGTGTTTTCTTTAGACTAGCCGAACAAACAGCAAAGGAGATGGGAGCTTGATTAGTGTGGTATGCCCCTCGTCTTATGAATTGATTTACAACATAGCGTTGTGACATACCGTTGCGACAGGTGCTGTGCGGCTACATTACTAACTGATGCTGCCCATCTGCGTTTCATACTGCAGCGGCAGGTGCTGTCTGAGAGAAAAAAAGCTATGTGGACACAGGCCCTCAATGATCCAAAAACGACTCCGGTGTCTTTGGCAGTCACACTCAGAGTTAATATACTAATCTAAAGTACAAAGAAATTAGCCAAAATAGCTAACCTTTATTTGTAAGGTTGTTTTTTTTGCCCTGAATTAAATCTGAAGGGTAACAAGAGGGTAAGGTGCTTCCTTTCATGCCATTTAGTTATGCCTGCAAGCTCCTAAAACCAAATGTTTACTTTTTGGGCCTGCTAAATAACTTCTTGTCATGTATGTTTGCACAGACCAGGTCAAATACATTTACATTCTCCAAACAAATTTGTTGGGTTCAGTATGAAAGTAGTTTGATAATTTCATCAAAGTTAGTGTCTTAAGTCAAAAGAAGTGGGACCGAAAATAGGCTACAATGATTATCTCTGGGGGGGATTATTATCTGTGTAAAGGTAGAATTTATTGCTTTACAGATTTTACAGGTGTGCCTAATTAAGTGGCCTCTGTTTTCCTACATAAAGCCTATTTTGTCATCTCTCTCATGGAAAAATAAGTTGTTGACAAATACATTTGATAACAGTTTTATTAATGATAACATTAACAAAATGAACAATACTTCCCATGCTGCTATAAATTGACATAAAAATACATGCTTATCACCACAATGTAAAAACTCACTACATCACCATCATCATTTATATATTGCCAATGTTTTGCATTTTAAAATAATTCCAACATTGCCATATATTCACATACACTCAATATTCATTAAAATTTACAAACATTAAAACTCATATCATAGACACTTGCATAAATCCTGCCTCTGTTGCAGTATTTGCATTAAAAAAATCTATATTACTTTGTATTTGAATAAAACTGACTGTGTTTAACATCATCAATAATGCATCCTTATGTATGTCATCACTAGATTTAGTAAAGCCTTTATTAGCAGAATGTGTGTAACTCTGATGATAGACTGTATTTCAACATGTTACTGTCACCTTCAGAATGTTCCTGCTGCACTCTACACTGATCCTAATGAGATTGCCCAGCACTTAACCCTGAAGCTGACAGAGTGTGAGAAGCTGGAGCTTCCTGAGATGCAGCCTCAGACAGCTGTTAACGACGACCTTCAGTGATGGATATACTCACAAGTCCTCATTGATGTCTTGCATGATGAAAATGGGAATAGTAGTCCTAAACCACATTCTTAATCTTACAGTAACGTAACAACCATTGATCTCTCCTTCAAATATCTGCACAGGAATAATTTTTATATGTGACCACAATGATGGTGTGTTCACAAAACTCTCCAACCTGACTGTACACAGTTTCAGTATGTTCTCAGTGCAGTTTGGTGCGCTATGGTATCATCGAAACTTTAACCCCAGTGAAATACTTTGGTCTAGCTACGGTTTCTGTTCATATATGAACTGATTTTGTTTTGTGAGATTTTTTTGCACTGTTCAACGGACTGGCCTTTTTACATGAAAGGTTTGGTAGGGTAGCTGTTTTCATGCTTGTAATATTAGAATATCATTAATGTGTTTGTAAAAAAAAGCTTCACAAAACAGCACTGTATTTTCTGAAGTCATCAAGAATTTCTGTAAATATGTCTACTCTATTTTCTATGGTGACTTGTGGTAGGTGAAAAAGCTTGGTTTCATTTACAAGTCAAACACCTCCTGAATCCATGTGAATATGTCTTCCATGTGGCCAAATAAATTCTGTTTGTGCAAATATAGCTCACTTACAGTAGCTTGTACTGGATTCTTGTTGTTCTTCTGAGGATGTCCATATCAAAGGGTTTCAACCAATAATGATCCTTTAAATTTATCCAACATTAAACTCAAATCAAACTTCATCCTAGTTGAAGTTGATTTGCAAATCATTAGCCCCTTTTATACTGCCTGTTCAATAGGGGTGGGAATCACCAGAGGATCCACAATAGATATTATCTCGATACGTCACAATACAGTATTATTGTAATTTTAAATATGTTGTGATATAACACCATTTTTCAAAAGTAAATTATGTCCCCAAAGGAAAACTTTGTCAACATCTGTTTTATCTAATGACAGAAGGTTTTCAGTCTGTTCACCTCACTTCAGCCATTTTTTGCAGCAGTAAAATGTATCTAGTGGACTGAAAAAGTAATTGATTAAATTATTCTAGCAGGCTACCTAAAGTTTAATTTGCATTTGTAATATTGATAATTTATATAATAATAAATCAATACTTGGCACTGTGTGACGAAATGATATTGCCACTCTGCTTTATTGAATTTTTTTCCTCACCACTACTGTTCAAGGTGGTAATATTGCGCCATTATGCCGCCTCACCGTGCTGTATATGATGCATGACCGTGGAATGGGTTGACAGAGTTGTCTCACCATTAAGCCTCCATGGGAGGTAGTAACAGCACCGAAACAGTGTCTGTATAAATAGGACAGGTGTGATGTTTTGACTGTGTTATGTATGCAACCCACTGCGGGAAATTTAAAAAGTAGCTAACTCAAGTAGAGAAGAACAGCAGCCAAAAATTACCACAAATTGGGAAACCAATGAGATTCAGAATACCCTCTGAGCAGAGGACAAGATCAGCCACCATATAACAGAGACAGTATATCATTGTTATTGACATGTTATACCATTATTGTTTATAAAGCACTGCCGACATATGTAGTATGTCACACTAGAGGCCGTAAAAAGGGCTAATATGTGACCTGTGTTTAGTTTCACAATGTCAGCAGTGAGCAATGAGCCAATTTATTTTTACTCAGTCCCATTTACACCATCCTGTTGCCACAAATACTCACTAGAGCACCAAACTGGTATTGATCCGCTAGTGAAAATAGTCCCCAACAAATGCACCATTTCCTCCTGTTTGACAAACGTTTAATAAAAACTACAATGACCAGAGGTTTAAGGAAATGACTGAACCTAAAAAATGATATTTGTGAGCTATTCTTAAAGAATCAGGGTAAGACTTCAGTGGAAATAACATCATTTTAATGAGAAACTGAGCAAGAACTTTTGTCATGGTGCCAACAATATGCTGTCTTGACAACAATATGAGCTGAGAGTCACAAACAGGGTAGAGAAGACAGAAAGTACTTAGCAATACATTAACACATAGTTGTTTTTTTTAATTTTTTATTTAACCTTTATTTAGCCAGGTTAGTCCCGTTGAGATTAAGAATCTCTTTTTCAAGGGAGACCTGGCCAAGACGGTCAGCAGCAAAAACACAAAGTTGCAGACAGAGACATACAGGGAGAACAAGTACATTCACAAGCACTAAAATTTGCATAAAGAAAAACTACCAATAAATCAAAACGAGTGTTTCTGGGAGTAATTTGTACAAACAATCAAGCTAAAAACATCGACATCCCATAGAAACTGCTTCCAAGTCCTTCAATTTAGATTTAAAAACATGTAACGACACGAGCTCCTTCAGTTTTAAATCATTCTGCAACAAATTCCAGGCTGAGGGTGCAGAATACCCAAAAGCCCTTTTCCCAATTTCAGTCCGAGCATTTGGGACAGAGAGCATAAAGAGGTCCTGAGAACGCAGTGAATACTGCCCGGTGTTTTTTTGCGTGATGAAAACACACAGGTAATATGGAAGCAGACCAAGAATTGCCTTATATATAAAGGTGTACCAATGTAGGAGCCTACGGGTCGCCAGGGGGGGCCATCCTACCCGAGAGTACAACTCACAGTGATGAGTCAGTGCTTTACAATTTGTAATGAACCTTAGGGACGCATGGTAGGCTGAGTCAACCATATGGAGACATTGAGCAGAGGCATGCATGTACAGGAGATCACCATAGTCTAATACAGGTAAAAAAGTTGCAGCAACTAGACGCTTTTTTACATTAAAAGAAAAACACAACTTATTCCGAAAATAAAAACCCAGTTTTAGCCTCAGTTTTTTCACCAGGTTCAGCACATGATGTTTAAAATTAAGGGAGTCATCGATCAAGATACCCAGATACTTGTACGAGTTAACAACTTCTATCTCCTTTCCACCAACAGTGACCACCACAGGTACATTTTGTAACCTAGCCTTTGAGGTGGTAAACAACATAAGCTTCGTCTTATCTGCATTTAAAACGAGTTTCAGCTCATGCAGTTTATCCTGAACAACCACAAAAGCATTTTGCAAGTGCTCAACTGCCAGTGCAAGAGATGCTGCACAGCAGTATAAAACAGTGTCATCAGCATAAAAATGGAAAGTAGCATTTGACACATTTTGACCCAGATTATTCACATAAATAGTGAACAAAAGTGGACCTAATACAGAGCCTTGTGGCACACCTTTGTGGATCGACACAAAATCTGAGCATAGACCATCGTACCTAATGCACTGAGACCGATTACTAAGATAGTTTGAAAACCAAGAAACTGCTTCTTTTGAGAGACCTGAGTTCAGAAGTCTAAGTTTTAAAACATCGTGGTCGACTGTGTCGAAAGCTTTGGACAAATCAAGAAAAAGTGCTGCACAATGTTGCTTCTTATCAAGACCTACAGAAATGTCATTTACCACCTTCAGTGCAGCCGTGATAGTACTATGCTTTTTTCTAAAACCTGATTGATATGTTGATAAAATATCATTGGTGTATAAAAACTCCTTTAGCTGAGCACTCACAAGAGATTCAAGAATTTTAACCAGTACTGACAAATTAGATATTGGCCTATAGTTATTTAAAATACTTGGGTCTCCCCCTTTCAATAAGGGGAGGACAAAGGCAGATTTCCATATTCTTGGAATTTCCTTAGTCAGCAAAGTTAGGTTAAAAAGATATGTAAGAGGCTCGGCCACAAAATCGGCTGCCAATTTCAAGAAATAAGGATCAATCAAATCAGGTCCTGAAGGTTTTCTCGGGTCTAGTTCTTTTAGAGCCCTACAAACTTCCTGTGCAGAGAAAGGCACAAAGTTAAAAGACTGACCAACACAGACAGACACATCAGTACTGGGTTTCACAGACGCACTGCAAGCAGAGTCAAACAGGGAGCCAGTAGCCACAAAATGCTCATTAAAACAGTTCAAAATTTCCATTTTGTCATGAATAGCAACAAAATCCTTCATAACAAGGTTGGGCACTGTTAGGGAATGATTGCTGACAGAAAAGGACTTTATCGCTTTCCAAAATTTCCTTGGATCATTTAAATTTTTTGTGGTGACAGACAAATAATATTCTGATTTTGCTTTCTTAATAAGAGAGGAACATTTGTTTCTCAGTTGTCTGAAAATAGTCCATTCAGTAGCAGAACCTGTTGCCCTTGCCTTTGCCCAAGCCACATTACGTGCATGAATAAATTCAGTTAGTTCAGGGGGAAACCAGGGGTTATCACGCCCCTTAACTCTGTATCTTTTAAAAGGTGCATGTCTATTTAAAATTTGTGTAAAACCATCATAAAAAAATGTCCATGCTGCTTCAACATCAGGGATCTGCTCTATTCTACTCCAATTAAAATTGAACAAATCATGAAAAAACCCCTGTTCATTTAAGTGTTTAAGATCCCTCTTCAAAATAACACGTGGCTTGGATTTAGGGATTTTAGTGTTTCTAGTAGCAGCAACAACACAATGGTCACTTAAATCATTGCAAAAAACACCAACAGCTGAAAATTTATGAGGAACATTAGTCAGGATCAAATCAATTAGAGTGGATCTCTCGGGCTGTTTAGGATTTGGCCGAGTTGGTGAATTAATCAACTGGGTAAGATTGACAGAGTCACAAAATGATTTAAATTCATCTGATACTGGCTTAAGCCAATCCCAGTTAAGATCACCAGCTAACACAATTTCATTATAATTTAGTTTGGATAAAAGGTGCATCAAAGACTGCAACGCATCACTCAGTGCAGATGGGGGTCTATAACACCCAACAACAGTTAAACAGAGACCCTTAGACAATTCTAAACTTACTGCCAGAAATTCCAGCTGTTTGCTAAGTGATTCAGTCAGAATTACCCTAACACAAAATTTTGATTTTACAAAAATGGCCACACCGCCACCTTTCTTTGGTCTGTCAGCACGATAAACATTATATCCATCTATGTTAATGTCTCTGTCAGTGACTGATTTTGTCAGCCATGTTTCTGATATTACAACAATGTCCGCATCTGTTGATTTAACCCATATTCTGACCATATCCACTTTAGACAACCAGCTGCGCACATTGAGATGAATGATTTTTTTTTTTGGTTTTGGATTTGGTTTTGGTATCATGACAATAAAACATTTAAGAACACTTACAATAGTCTCCCCACCAGACAATCAGAGATCTCCGCCTTCTGATAGTCTGGGGACACTCCTTTCTAAAGTGTGTTTAACACACCAGAGAAAACGGCAGGTGTTCTGTCGATTTCCCCTACCTGTGGAGAAGTGCTGCTTTGTGGTTCTGCGCATGCGCAGAGCCGATTTTCCAAGTTTCATTTCCACGCCCATAAATTTTTGCTACTCGTCAGTCCACACTGTTGTTAATGGTGAGTAACATCCTCAAAATCCATTTTCTTTGTGCTTTTGGCCTATTTAAGAAGTTAAGTTAGCATGTAATATGCTGCCATTAATCCTACAGTGGCAGTGAGGTGATTCGTAGTCTTACATGAATGCATTGAGTAGTGGGAGCATTATTTGATAGGGTGGTATTGGACTATCAAAATATGCTACCCCTGAAATATTGATTAAAAATGTTAAAATGGTATGTCTAAATATACTGCCATTAATCCTACAATGGCAGTGAGGTAATTAGTAG